AAAGTGTTAGTAGAGGAAATAAATAAGAATTAGCTTTGCTTTAGTTTGCTTGATTTAAAAAAAAGACTTTCTAGGAGACATCAACTTTGAGAGGAGACTAAAAATAAAACTTAGTCTAACTTGACACTGAGGAAGCAAACACTATCCAAGTGGGATGAGCAGGATGGTTGTGAGAGGCAGGTGAGAAAATGGTCCTGCCCTGCACATAATATGTGGCTGGAGTTGAGCTGGAGCACACTGTGGGATTAGGGTCCCTGGAAAGGGGGAAGTACATTTATAGGTGTCTAAAGTGCCAAAAGAAGCAGAGGCTGTTCTCAAAGTGATTATGCAATCATGTGGCACTGCAAAGACATTTGAATCTCTCTGCCAAAGTCTCTGTAAGGAAATGTGAGTGAAAGCTGTTGTTTTCTGGGCAGCCAACTCACATGTCAGTTGTGCAGGGGTGGGGGTTGTGTTCCCTTTTCAGTCATGAAATGAATTAATTTAGGGACAAGGAAGTAATATTCAGAAAAGACCTTTAAAAACATGGTTGTTTTCTGTTTTGTATGAGCCTTCAGGTTCCCTTGCCTTCAGACAACTAAGGCATAGCTACACAGAGCAGTCATGTTCTCTTGTTGTCCAGGAACAAGCCCTCACCACTTCCACCACCACCACTTGTGCACATGTTACTTCCCCTAAAACATACAGAAATTTATCTTCTGAGAAAGAAGATTTATTGTTAGAGGCATGTAAGAAGATGGAGAAAATTGAAGTACATGACTTAAATGTGTCTTCCCATTCAGAAAGGAGTTTGGACATTCATGGAGTAATGTTTATTGAGGCAGGACTGGGTGAGGCTAGCTGACAGTGCATGATAGGTCCAGATGAAAAGCAGGGAGCAGTCCTTGGAGCATGTGCCTGACCAAATCATGCTTTTCCATGCATCAATTGTTCAAAGATGGCTGCTGCAACATCACCAGAGACGTATTTAGCATGACAGTGTATTATATAGCAACTCCCAGGCCAGTCTCAATGATGTGTGTAGATTCTAGATCTCCAACCAGAACAGTCTCATTTTGTCAATAACCCTAAACAGACAACTATTACAGGATGGCAAGTTACTGTGCAGCATTCAGGCACATGATCCTTATGGTCTGTGAATGTTATGCAGCTAAGAAGCTTGCTGCTAAGCAGAGAGGGAGGGCTTCTGTTGCCCATAGTACCAGTCTCTTTTTCTCCCCTGCCCCTCTCAATCAAAATCAAACACAGGCAGACACACACACACACAAACACACACACTTGGGTTTGGTCATTAATCTTAGATAATCAGACAGATTTATATTATGTGGTTCTTTAGTCTGCTGAAAAACAGCATTCCGTGTCCCATACCAAATTTTTATCTATAAAGACCCTATCGTTTCCTTCCAGGGTTGTACACCACTCCTAAAAGTAGTTAGTGCTTTGGTTCTAAAATGTTTACTTCAAACACTTATGAAGTTATGGTTATTACTGTATTAGCATTTTTCACCAGGCTTAGTTTGAGCTATCTTTTCTTACATCCCATTTTTTCTACCTGTTGGGAATGTGAGCTATCTGATTCAATTCCTCCACATAAATCTTTCCAAATACCTCAAAAGTACATATTCTTCATTTTATCTGTGCTAGTGGATGCTCATCAAATCATTGTGCATTGAAATCAGTTATTCTCATATTCCAGCAGGGAGCCCCACACAGACTAGAACCCCTGCGCCTGAGTGTGACCCTCATTCTTCCCATAAAGGAAGGAGAGGGGGGCCCACAGCCATTCCATCCCAAACATGCCTGGTCTCACCTGATCTCAGAAACTGGGCAAGATTGAACCTTGGAAGTATAGGCAGGGTAGGAATTATCAAGGGAGGACCAGCTGATGTTAGCTCTGCTGGCCCAGTGTCTATTATAGGTTTTCAGCTTCATTGACTCCTCCAATTATTACATCCTCTCTAAAGTGAAAAGTTTCCACTGAATGAACAGTATGAAGGTTTCCAGCTGTAGAATACCGTGACGAAGTATTAAACCTCTAAAGTACTGACTGTTTACAAGGGGACTTCTAAAATTCATGTAATATGGAACTAAATTCGAATTTTATTGGTATGAGAATAATTATTTAAATCCATGCATGTTTTTATAGTACCTATATTCCATATATTTAGGAAAAAAAATGAACTGAATTAAACTTTTACTTTTTTTTTCCACAATCTATTTTGTTGTTGTTGTTGTTAATTGGAAGAAGCACAGACAGAAAGAGCCTCCACTTGTGCTCTCCACAAATTAGCAAGACTTGAAGACTGGATCACAACCCAGGTCTTCCTCATGAGTCACAGGGACTCAATCACCACGAACCACCAGTTGCCTCCCAGAGTCTACATGAATAAGAAGTCAGAGTCAGGAGCTGGATTTGAGTTTGAAACCCAAGTACTGCAAAATGGGACACAGGCATCTTAACTGCTGGGTTGAGTGCCTGCCCTATCTATGACATGTTGTCTAAGTGTCCTTATGGAGCAAAAAAGAAATGAGAAATTTATACAATACCTGGGTAGGATGGAGCATGCTTGTAGCATCTGAATAAGGTGTTTGAAGTGGGATACCCCTCTGCATTACATTTTTTCCCTTTTGGGTATGAGTCTGTCATCCAGTATGTGTACTGTGTATAACCAAGGATAACAAAAATAAAAAAAATTCAGTGCTCCTGGCAGAAAAGTACCTCAGCAACACTTCCCCAGGGAGGCTGGAGTGAAAGGGGTGAAGGAACCACTCTTCACATAAAACAGAAGGAAGCCTACCCTCAAGTGATATTTTTTAAGTCATATTGAGCAATGCAAGCACTTACACAAGTTCCCTAAGGCATTTGTGCCCTATTTTAGTAACAAAAGATCAGCCATTTCCAACTGTGCCCCTAAAGTCAGTCTTATAAGGCAATGAAAGAAATGTCTAAAACACTGGGAAAGAAAGGAGACGCTTGGCCTTTTAAGGTGTCCATAACCTCATTTTAAAAGTAATTTCTTGAGTTAGAGAGGTAATTCTGCGTTTGCCTGGGTCACAATTTAAGAAGAATCTAATAGCTTTATCTAGCTATTAGAGAGCTACTGTAACTGCAATGAGCTTTGGCATTTTAGGTGCATTTGAGGAATTGTGAATATACTAGCAAATCCCAGCTGTATGTAGTTTTTGTTCTTGTGTTTTGTGGGGTTGTGGTCTCTCTTTATGATCATGGAATAGTTGGGAAAAATAATTAAAATCTGCCAATCTGGGCTCCCATCAAAGTTGAAAACTTTCGCCTCTTCCCTGAAATGTAATTTTGACTTGATAGGTATGGGCTGCTTACTTCAGATGAAATGATGTGGAAACAAGTGGCGAAGTGAATGCTGAAGGACAACAAATGATCAGTAAGGCCTCAAGCAGGCAGGAGTAGATGTTGATAAGAACTAGTGGGTAGATTTCACAGAAATTGAATTATGAAATCAGTCCCCAATCAAAATCTTGTGTCCTAGCATATGAAGCTTTTGCACAAAACATGTCCCTTTATATTAAAAGATTCTAACAAATCTGGTTTTTGCAGATGTTGATTTATTTTATTTGCTGAAAGTGGGAAAATAAAATAGACAAGATCAAGTGGACTAAAAATTGTGAAGAGTGTTGCATGCCATCACCTAGGCAAGTTACATTTATTGCCAGAGAAAAAGAAGTGACACACAAAACAAAGTGCTTGGACTTGAGTCTCATCTCCACTAGCATGTTGCTGATGGTTGTTCATCCTGGGAAATAACATGTTTAGGTAGCTGGGTCCTTGTCAACCACATGGGAGACCTCAAATGAGATCCCAGCTCCAAGTTTGGGTTTGTTTGAGCCCTGACCATTATAGACATTTGGGAGAGGAACTAGTAACTGGGAGCTCTCTCTCTACCTTTGTCTCTCAAATAAAATTAAATGACAGAGCGGAAAACAAAAGTGGAAACAGGACAATTTGTTACAGAACAAGTCTCTCATGGTTGAATAGTCTCAGCCCATGAGTAGCCAAGACCTCTGGGTGCTTCACTCAACAGAATAAATGGAAAGTGTTGATGCCTTCTGGTGTCCTCCCTTCTCAGAGACTGGTCTTTCCTGGGTTATTTGATGAGGTCCCAATGGAGTGATCTTAAGAAAATTATGTTGCCTTTGGAAGATGTATTGCAGGCATATAAGGGAACTACAGAGAGACAGAGAGGAAAGAGAAGCTAGTGAAACTCTGACTGTGTCAGAAGTGTTCAGCATGCTAAGCATCATTCTTTAAGGGTATTTGTTTTCTAAGCCTAAGAATGGCCAGAAAGATCTTGCACCAGATCTCCCAAGACTCACATAGTTACTCACAGGATCCCCTGATCCATAAGCCCATCTTCTGGCTGGAATTAAAGCACTCGCATAAAAGTCAAGGAAATGTTTTGGTTTGCTTATTCTTAACACAAGAGTATGTTGTATTTCCTGATAATTTTTTAATGCACTAACTGCTCCAAGTGATACTTTCCTAGTGTTTTTAAAGTTTAAATATAATACTAACTATGGTAAATGCCATATTTGAAAGAAACTATTAAAATGTGAAATTTATTCTGTGACTTGCACTCCGTTTTGGAACCACAGTGTCACATGGGCCATGTTGAAGGACTGATCAACAAGAGCAATGCTTCTGTTAGGTTGTAGGGTTTGTTTTTTGTTTTTTGTTTTTGTTTTTATAAGTAATGACATTTAGGCAAACATTAAACTATGTGGAGGATTATTCTCTGGTGTTTCTAGGAGATACTAAAACATTTATGCTGCTTTTGATTCAGAAAATTAATATGAAGTGTTGGGTATTCTTGTACTCTCGATAAGAGGCCCCAGAGAACACTAAAATAAGTAATTTAGATAAGAACAGAATGTTCATCACAGTGTGAAACCAACAGGCAAGCAGATTTGAATGATGTTCAAGCTGGCATGTATTCAGTCCAGTAAATGCAGAATCTTCCCTTCAGACATTGGAAAGAAACTGGAAGTTGATCCGTGATGAGGGCCTTACAGTGATGGACAAAGCCCAAGGTCTCTTCCTGCCTGAGGATGAAAACCTGAGAGAGAAGGGCGACTGGAGCCAGTTCACACTGTGGCAGCAAGGTGAGCTCCTGACTTCTGCACTGTTCTCTTCAGCCAGTGATAGGATGACAAGAAAGTCTTCTATTAACTTTAAGGAACTATTAGGAAAGCCTGGATTTTGAAAGTCCATTGCATTGGAGCAATGTGTGTGTGTGGTGTGTGTGTGTGTTCTCACATGTGTTTAGATGATAAAACATTTAGCTTTTCCTCATCTTTTTTGTGAACTGATAGGCTACTGACAGCAACCCAACAGTGTAGACATAGCTGCTACTGCAGAGGCTACATGCATTTATCTGTGTCTTAGAAAGGAGCATTGCTAAGCCTCATCAGATCCTATAAAGTGGAGATGATGCTGCATGAACAAGTGATGTCACTACTGTGAGAGTTAGTAATGGTATACCATCAGAGTGACAAGAGGGTGGAAATCATTGTTTGAGTTACTGAGGAGTAGGAAGTGGTGCTTATTAGCTTCCTATTTCTTGAACTTAACCTGAGCTTATGCACACAGACAGAGCTTTAACATGTTAGCCTGTGGTAGCACCTTATCCTATGGTTTAAGTGGCATCCCAGGTGCTGTGGTGCACAAGTAGAGCAGAGAAAGCACTGGAGTACAAGAGGAGGTCGAGGACATGGAGGGATAAAGGGAGCTGGGCAGTTCGTTCAGCCACAAGGAGAATTCAAACCCAGATGAAGAGGCCAGTGGGAGCCTCTGGCTTGGTGAAACTTTGGAGGTTATATAGTTGAATTAGGAAGTCATACTTCTAGGTAGTTGAGGTCTGGAAGCTGTAGCTAGAAGCTTCTATCAAAATGAGAAATGAAATCATGGTACATTTCTGTTATGGACTTACATGTGCTCTCAGCTTCAACCAGGCTCACGTATCTAACACTAGCATCCAAATGTATTTGGACATAGGCCTTTCTGGACGCAGTTAAAACCGAAGGCAGTTATAAGGATAGAGCCATGTTCTGCTAGGATTGGCATCCTTTTAAAAAGAGAGAGAGAGAGGCAGGCATTTTGGTATAGCAGTAAATTGCCTGGGATAAAGGCTGAGATCAGCTCCCACATCTAGCATGCTTCCTGCTAGTATGCAAGCTGTGAATCAACAGGTGATGACTTGAGAAGTTCAGTTCCTGTCACTCTCATGAGAGACCTGGATTGAATTCTCATTTTCTGGTTTTGGCCTAGCCCCAACCCAGCCTTTACAGGCATTTAGAAAGTGAATCAATGGATAGGAGCTTGTGCCCAGAAGCTCTCTTTGTCCTCTGTACAGAAAGAAAACAACACAGAGCGAGCGAGAGAAGATGCTAGGCATGTGTATGTGCGGAGGAAAGGTAGCGTGAGGACACGGAAGAAAGTGGCCGTCTGCAAGTTGAGAAAAGAGGCTGCAAGGGAAACCAAACCTGCCAATACCTTGTCTTTGTCTTCCAGCCTTCAGAAGTATGAGAATACACGTCTGCTGTGGCAGCTGTAGCAGGATCATGTAGTCTCTAAGCAGTCTCATTACTACTGGACTATTTTCCTTTTTGAAGAACACAGCATTTTCTTTTATTACATTGCATCATGAGACACAGTTTTACAGGCACTGGGATTCCCCCCTCCCCTCCCCAAAACCCGCTTCCCCCCCTCATGGTGAATTCTTCCATCTTGTTGCATTACCACAGACCAAATTCAGTTGAGATTTTTTTCCCTTGCAAGCATCTACAAAACATAGAGTCCAGCATCTTATTGTGCAGATAAGTTCGACAGTTTCATGGGGAGACAGTCTCTGGTCTGAAGGTACAGCTGAAAGAGTATCATCCCAATCAATTGAAAGCCCCGACATTACATCAGTAACAATTTATAACGTACCAGAATTAGTTGATATGATATTGTGTAACCAGCATGTTCAAAGAGAGAGAAAACAACAACAACAACAAAAAAAAGAGTACAAGTTCTGAACCACATCCTATGACTTCTACATTGACATTACAATTATTAGTTTATATACAGCTGGGTTCTATACACCTTAAAATGGCTATAGATTACTAGTCAGCTGTCTCATGTCTATTTTAATTTTAGTATTAAGCAGTTCATAGTGTTGAAGCCTGATTTTGCAGAACCTGGCTGTTTTTCAGGTAGCCTAGCTCTATAACTGTAACAGGACATATGTCAACAAAGACAGAATCAGTAAACATGAACAACAGTATATCCTCAAAAATATGTTTTACATTGCTCTGTCAATATTACAAAACATCCATGTTGTTCCCAGATTAATAATAGCCACTGGCGAAGACCGAAGTATCCAGTCACTGAATATGGCATACGTGAACATTGTTTTCTTGCAGAACCCAAGACAATTGGGTACTAACTGATTCTCTGACCCTTGCTAGATTGACAGATTGAACCTTGAAGAGGAATCTGTGGTCACTACAACAGTAGAGCCTTGAGACTAACAAAAGTTACAACACAAATCCTTAGTTCCATGAACATTTCTCGTAAAGTATATTCACAAGTAAATATAATATGTTCAAATAATTAGTCCCACCATGATTAGCCCACCCTCCCTCAAGCCATTTTTGCAAGGGAACAAAGTTTTGTACTTCTGCAGAATTTGAACTTGGCAAGAAATAGTAAACAACAACAACGTGGCACTGAAATGTAATAAAACCTGAAATTACAGATTTTTTATTACATTAAAAATTATTTTATGATAATAGTTCCATAGGCTCTGAGATTTCCCTTGCCTCCTCCCCAAACCCTCTCCTCCCTACTGCTGATTTTTCCTTATTGGTACAATAGTATAGTCCTTCATAAAAAGTCGTAAGTCCATCATTCTGCTGTTTAAGTATATCCCGACATTTTAGTCATGGACAGTAGCAGAGAGTCTGACATCTTATTGTCATGATATATTTAACAGTTTCACAGGGAGTCTATCTTTTATTTGGAAGTAGAGATGCATATTACATTGTATCTTCAAATCTGGATATGATAATCTCTACTACATAGTTATAATGCATACCCTTAAGTAAAATCCCATAAAGCAAAATCAACAAGAGAAAGAAAATAAGAAAATTTACAATGCCATGAAGTTAAATAACATGCTACTGAGTGATGAATATGTTGCTGAAGAAATGAAAAAGAAAATCAAAAACCTTGGAAAAAATGATGCTACTGTATGACCTATGAGTCAATGAAGAAATTAATAAGGGAAAAAAACTTCTTTGAAGAAATGGAAATAAAAACAAAATAGGCAAAATCCATGGGTTGCAGCAAAAACAGTACTGAAAGGGCTATTAATCTTGTGTTTTGTAAAGACGTTACATCATATCAGAGAGAACATATGATTTGTCCTTTTGGGATTGATTTATTTCACTGAGTGTGATGGTCTCTAGTTGGGACCATTTGGTTACAAATGGTAGATTTTCATTATTTTTATTTTTTTTAAAGATTTCTTTTATTTTCATTACAAAGTCAGATATACAGAGAGGAGGAGAGACAGAGAGCAAGATCTTCCGTCCGAAGATTCACTCCCCAAGTGAGTGCAACAGCCAGTGCTGCACTGATCTGAAGCCAGGAACCAGGAACCTCTTCCAGGTCTCCCGCAAGGGTGCAGGGTCCCAAGGCTTTGGGCCATCCCAAGGCTTTGGGCCGTCCTTGACTGCTCTCCCAGGCCACAAGCAGGGAGTTGGATGGGAAATGGAGCTGCCAGGATTAGAACCTGCACCAATATGGGATCTTGGTGCATTCAAGACGAGGACTTTAGCCGTTAGGCCACCGTGCTGGGCCCAATTTTCATTCTTTTTAAAGATTGGGTATCATTCAAAGGAATAGATATACCAAAGTTTGTTTATCCACTCCTCTTTTGACAGGCAGCTGGGTTGTTTCTGTGACTTTGCTATTGTAGATTGTGCTGATGTAAATACCTGATTACAAATCCTTTTCTCATATGTAGATTTCATTTCCTTTGTATATATTCCCAGAAGTGGGATGGCTGGGTCTTATGGCAGGAATCAAGGCTGAGCTCACTTGCACATCTAGCATCCTTCCTATTTTCTTAGCAATCTCCATACTCCAGGTGGTCATACTAGTCTGCACACCCACCAACAGAGAAGGAGGATACCTTTCTCTCCACATCCATGCCAGCAGGTGCTGTTAGTAAAGTTCTGAATGTAGGCCAGTCTTGCTGGTGTTAGATGAAATCTCAATGTGGCTTTCATTTGCATCTCCCTGATGGCTAGGGAGCCCGAGCATTTTTTATATGTCTATTAGCGATTTGGATCTGTGCTTTTGAAAACTGTCTATCTGCTTCCTTCACCCATTTATTCACAGGGTTGTTCGTTTTGCTGTTGCTGAGTTTCTGAAACTCTTCATAAATCCTAGATATTAGTCCCTTATCAGTTGTGTAGTGTGCAGATCTTCTCCCATTCTGTTGGTTGCATCTCTACTTTGTTGATCATCTCCTTTGCTGTACAAAAGCCTTTTAGTTTAATGTAGTCCCATTTATTTATTTTGACTTTGACTGCCTGTGCTTTTGGTGACTTTTCTAAGAATTCTTTCCTAATTCCTGTATCTTGGAGAGTGCTTCCTGTGTTCCTATGATTTCTGGGTTTAGATTTAGGTCCTTGATCCATTTAGAGCTGATTTTTGTCGAAGGTGACAGGTAGAGGTCTTCTTTCCTCTGCAGGCTGCCAGCTAATTGTGCCAACAGCAGTTGTTCAAGAGATCAGACTTTTTCCCTGGATTGTTTTCAGTTCTTGTCAAAGATTTTGGCTGCACATGTGTGGGTTCCCTTCTGGTCTTTCTATTCTGTACCATTAAACTTTTTCTGATTCTGTGCCAGTGCCAGACTGTTTTGATGACCACTGCCCTGTAATGTGTCTTAAGGTCTGGAATTATGATCCCTCTAATTTGATTTTTATTCTTTAGGATAGCTTTGACTCTTCATGGTCTCTTGTGTTTCCAGATAAACTTTTGTATTTTTTTTTCTAATTCTGAGAAGAATGATGTAGAGATTTTCATTGGGATCACATTGAATCTGTATAGTACTTTTGATATTATGGACAGTTGGATGTTGTTGATCCTGCCTATCCAGGTACATGGTAACTTTCTCTCTCTCTTAATCTCTTCTTCTATTTCTTTTTTTAATGTTTTGTAATTTTTATTATAGAGGTCTTCCACATCTTTGTTTAAGTTAATTCTGAGGAACTTGAGATTCCTCTCTGCTCTTTTACACTGCACTATAGCTTGAGTGATCACCCCTGGATCTCTGCCTGTTGCCTGGTCCGTGCGGCTTACAACCTGCCTGTACATGACCTGAAGCACAGGTTCCAGCCCTACATACAGAACACGACCTCTGACGTGACTGGAAGATGAAGGGAAAGAGATGTGCCTTCTAGACTACTACATTGTCATTTTGGGGCAGCAGTGGGGGGACTGTGACAAGATACCCTCCTGTCCTCCCCTTTTTTGAGCTTTATAAACTTGGAATTCGAACTGAATAAAACAGACATCACTCACCAGTTTGTCTCTGGTGGTTCTTGTGGCTGAAGAACATCGTCACCTCACCCTGGGTGACCTGGGGCCCTGCTTTTCTGGAAATACCTGAGACTGTACTTACAGTTTCTTTCTCAGCCATGGAGTCATTTATGTATACAAGCACCATCAATTTATGTTAATTACTTTTGTATCCTGCTTATCCTGCCAAATTCTTTTATACATTCCAATAGTCTCTTGATTAGTCTTTTGGTTCTCCTGTCTAGAGGATCATGTCATCTGCAAACAGGGATAATTTTAATTCCTCATTTCTAATTTAAATTCCTTTGATTTGCTTTTCTTGACTAAAAGCTCTGGCAAGGACGTCCAATACTAAATTTAGTAGCAGTGGTGAAAGTGGATATCCTTGCCTAGTTCTAGATCTTAGTGGAAAAGCTTCCAGTTTGTCCCATTTAGTATGCTGCTGGCATTTGCTTTTTCATATGTTGCTTTGATTATGTCATTAAATGAATGCTCCTTCTATGCCTATCTTGCTTAAGGTTTTTAGCATGAAATGGTGTTGGATTTTATGCCTTCTCTGCATCTATTGAAATGATCATGTTTTTTATTTTTTTCATTTGTTCACGTGATGTGATGTATCACATCTATTGGTTTGCAAATGTTAACCCATTCCTTTATGCCAGGGATGAATCTTACCTGGTCCAGGTGAATGGTCTGCCTGATGCACTGTTGGCTAGTATTTTGTTGAGGATCTTGACATCTATGTTCTTCGGGGATATCAGTTTGAAGTTCTCTTTTTCTGTTGTGTCTCCTCCTGGCTTTGGTATTAAGGTGATACTGAATTCATAGAAAGAGTTAGGAAGGATTGCCTCCCTTTCTATTGTTTGGAATAGTTTGTGAAGAACAAGGGTGAGTTCTTCTTGACACATTTGGTAAAATTCAATAATGAATCCATCTAGTCAGAATCTTCTTGTTTGGGAGGGTTTTAATTACCAATTCAGTCTCAGTCCTTTTCATAGGTCTATTTAGATTATTAATCATTTCTTGATTCAGTTTTGGTGGATTGTATGTGTCCAAAAATCTGTCTATTTCCTCCAGATCTTCTAATTTGTTGGCATATATTTTCTTCTAATAGTTCCTAATAATTCTATGTATATCCAAGATATTTGTTGTTAGATTTCCTTTTTCGTCTATGAACCTATTGATTTGTATCTTCTTTCTCCTTGTTTGGATTAGTTGAGCTAGTGGGAAATCTATTTTATTGATTTTCTGAAAGAACCAGCCCTGTGATCCATCGGTCTTATGTATTGTTCTTTTGGTCTCTATTTGCTTTAATTTCTCCCTTATTTTGGTTATTTATTCTTCTCTCCCTCCCCCCACCCCCCACTAATCTGGAATTGCTTTGCCATTGTTTTTCTAGCTCCTTCAAATGTATGGTTAGCTCATTTATGTAGTGCTTTTTAAATTTCTTGACATAAACATTGTTTGAGATGAACTCTCCTCTAAATGCTGCCTTAATTCTGTCCCATAAGTTTTGCTGTGTGGTGTTGATGCCTTCATTTGTTTCAACTAATTTTTTAAATTTCCCGTTTGATTGCCTCTATAACGCTTTGTTCATTTAGTAGCATATTATTCAGTCTCCAGGTATTTACGTATCTTCTGGGATATTTTGACTATTTATTCTCCAGTTTCACCATGGTATAATTTGTGTTTGTTGTTGTTGTAGTGGTTGTTGTTCTTGTTTAATTTGCTAAGGCTTGTTTTGTGGCCTCTGACATGGTCAACCCTGGAGGAAGTTCTGTGTACTAATGAAAAAAAAAATAAAGTGTTCTCTGTCTGTAGGATGAAAGGTTCAGTAGATATCAATTAAGTCCCTTTGTTCTACCTAGTGTCTGGGTGAGCTTTGTTTCCTTTGCTGACTTTCTGTCTCATAAATTTTTCCATGGATGTTAATGGGGTATTAAGTTCTCACACTATCATTGTATTGGAGTGTATTTTTCCCTTTAAATCTATTAACATTTGTTTCGCAGAACTAGGTGCCCTGGCATTTAGTGTGTATACATTTATTATAGTCATCTCTTCTTCCTGCTGAATAGATCGTTTGATCATTATGTAGTGTCCTTTATCATCTCTTAATGTTTTTTCACGTTAAAGTCTATATTATTTGATACAAGAATAGCTACATCAGCTTGTTTTTCCTTTCCATTAGCTTGTAAGGTCTTTCTCCATCCTTTTGCTTTTAGTTTCCACTGATGTTTGTTGGTGTGATGTGTCTCCTGTGGGCAACAGATAGATGGGTTTTGTTTTTGGATCCACTGCACTAATCTATGATGTTTGATTGGTGAGTTTAAGTCATTTGCACTCAGGGTTATTATAGGTAGGTTGTCATTTGGTCCTGTCATTTTAGCAATAGGTTATTCATTGATTGATTTAGTCTTATTGTTTCACTGGGATGTTCTTCGCATTTGCTTTTGGTGAAGAATATTTCCTTTTTTCTGTCAAGAGAACATCTTTAAGTATCATTTGTAGTGCAGATCTGGAAGAGACAAATTCTTTGAGCTTTTCTTTATTGTGGAAGGATTATTTTATTTTCAAAAACAAAGGAAAGCTTTGCTGGGTAAGTTCTTCTGGGCTTACAACGTTTTCTCCTTTTAGAATCTGGAATATGTCATTCCATTCTCTTCTAGCCTGTAGAGTTTCCTCTGAGAGGTCAGCTATGAGTCTGATTGGGGTTCCTCTATATGACAATTGATTTTTTTCACATGCACATTTAAGAATCTTTTTCTTGTGTTCAACTTAAGAGAGCTTGATCATCATATGTCATGGGGAAGATCACTTTGGGCCAACCCTGTTGGGAGTTCTGTGCCCCACCTGTATGTTGTTTCCAATTTCTTCATATTAGGGAACTTTTCATGTATTGCTTCATTGAATATATCTTTAAATGCAGCTTCTCTTTCTGTGCCTTCTGGAACTCCCTTGACTCTTATATTTGGCCTTTTAGTTGTGTCTCTTAATGTTTGAATACTTTTTTTTTTTAGCTGAGTCAGCTTTATTTCCAGGTTTTTGATTGTTTCCTCATTGTGACAAAACATATCTCACTTTAAGCAAATAATGTTAAACTCAGCCTTAGATGTAGAAGTTCTTTGTAGGAATCTTGAATAGAATCAAAATGTCTAAGACTTCTAAAATTCCACTTTCCTTCCCTATGAGAGCAAATGATGCTGTGTGCGTTCTGAACACTTTTTTTTCTAATACACAGTGATTACATAGAATGTGAAGATATCCCTCAGCCCAGGATGCTGAAATCTATACCCCAAATCTCAGGTCCTGACAGTATTACTCACAGAAGCATCATCCAACAAGTGTCTCCTCTGCATTTTCAGGGCAGTATTTTTGATCTATACATTGGAAAATGCACTAAATTCCTATTGAAATAGGGTTCTTTGCTTTATCTTTAATACAGTCTGAGGAATGGATATTTACATTAGTCTACTGTAACAAATTACCATAAATTTAGTGGCTTAAAATACACACTTACATTTTTACTTTGTTTCGTGGTTTGGTTTTGTTCTGTTTGGATAGCCTCAAGGGTAAGAAGTCTGCAGCTGGTCTCATTGTGACATCTTGGAGGTCCAGCTAGTAGAAGTTGCCCACATTCCCTGACTTGTGATCCTACGCTGTCTTCAAAGCCAGCCAAGTCTTTCTCATTCTGTATCATTCTACACCTCTTCTGTCTCCCTGCTCTACCTTTAGGGATCTTGTACTTAGTTAGTCTTTAATAATGCCTTTAAGATCAGCTTATTAACAATCTCAATGCTATCTCCAGCCTTAATTTTTGTTTACATTAAAATTTACTTGTTCCCATGTTGCAGAACTTAGAATATGGACACATGAAGAGGGAATATTATTCTGCCTGCCACCGGAGAAAAGTAAAATATTCAACATAGGCTGTACCTCTCCTATCTTAGTCAAATACTTCATCACTGAGCAGAGAATTTAGGTCCTTGCTCTGACAGTCGCTATTAACTGGGGGAAGACACTTCATCTTTTGTATTCACTCATTGTTCTCATTTCTAAGTAAGTATGGATATGGGAGTCACATATGGCAAGAGGGTAAGTTACAACTTTCCCAAGGTTTGCTTTTTTAAAAAGAGTTTTACTTTTTATTGTTCTAGGAAGAAAAAATGAGAATGCTTGCAAAGGAGCTCCTAAAACCTGCACTTTACTAGAGAAGTTTCCGGAGACCACAGGGTGCAGAAGAGGACAGGTACCAGGAGGGTTTGATGTGCTCAGAGAACTCAATGAATTGTTGGGAACAGGCAGTGCTGACTCCATAAGAAGCAAACCTTTTCTGTAATGCAAATTGATCTATCTTTTCTCACTCCACTTTCTTTACTAAACCTAATTACATATGGTTGATATTAGAACTGAGGGTGGAAATGTTCAGTGTTTATGGCTTTGTGGAATATGCAATCACTTACATTTAATTCCTTCACAAAGGAATAAAATGTGAACATGAATTCTGATTCTTTCAGTGGCCCTAATCCAAATTGACAGACATTCTGTATTGTCACTTTAGTGTAATAATCCCATTACATCTTGATAAGTAATTAAGTGAGTGTGTATTTCCTGCTTAGATCAAATATTCCATCATGCATCCTGGAACTCACGTGTGGCCACACACAGGGCCCACGAACTGCAGACTCCGAATGCACCTGGGCTTGGTGGTTCCCAAAGAAGGCTGCAAGATCCGGTGTGCCAACGAGACCAGGTATGGTTTTTTTTTCATCACATTCTCTGTTACAACAAATCTGCATCTGCTTGATCATCTCTGTTAGTAGCTAAGTGCAACATTTATGCTCCTTTGGTTCTTTGTTCTTCCTATTGGCCTAGAGATAGGGCACAACTTGTGGGTGCCTTCCTCCAGATACTCTTATTCACTTACTGAGCCTTCTTACTTCTCTCTGTAGGTAGGCACACTTGCATCCAGGTGTGCTAACATGTACTCAGTCCTGCATTATGTTATGTATTTGCTCACTGCTTTGCAACCAGACATGTTCATAAATGTGGGAAGTCCTCTGCATAAAACTCTATGATTTCTGTTTCGTTCTATGACCGAACTATGTGGTACAAAAGAACCTGCTTCTTAGATACCAGTTCTACCACTCAATTCTGTGTGATCTTGGCCAGTTATTCAATCCCTTCAAATCTCTGTCTCATGCTTATGAAACTTGCCTAGATGACATTGGCACTGCAGGGATTTTTACTGATTAATAAATGATGCCTTAAGGCACTTCATCCATGTTCTTGCATCAGCATGCAGGGATATCATGGTGAGCCTTAAGTCTTCTCCCTGCCTGCTTTTTCCTTTCCTACTCAAGGCAGATGTTATCAAGAACTGTGAACAAACCATGCTTACGCTGGCTTTTGTGCCTGTAACCCTTACACTCAGTACCTTTGAAACACCGTCCATTTCACTTACCCAGGATAAAACTGTTACTAATACTCAGTTTAGTCTCAGAATGGAATCCCTGCTCTGATTTCCTGGAGTGCACATCAACTCCTGCTGTCTGTCTTCATTGTTTGGTACTAATTAGAATGTATTAGCCTTGTCTGCACAGTGAGTGGTCAGCTCATTGAGAACAGAGACCAAGTTGCTGATTACTTATGCATTCATTTCTGTGGTCCTTTGTAGCAGCTGGAGTGCTGAGTGCATGTTCAAAGTCTTGCTCATTTGGTCATTGGTGGGTACCTGTCCTGTGCAAGGCAGAGCAGCACAAGGTGAAGACAGTGTGGGCTGTGCTCTGCCACATGGTTCTGACTGGGAAGACAATGGAAGAGTGGATGCCATATGAGCTGTAAGAAAGACAGTTAGGTCTGGGCCAGGAAACAGGTACAGCTGAGGTTTGGGAATTTTGGTTAAAATACTAGAGATTTGGACATTGAATATGGAAGAAACAAAGGCATTCCAGAACAGAACAGCATCTGCAAAGGCATAGGGACCAAGATTTATGAGCCGCATGTGAGATAATATGCTACAGCACAGTGAGGTAAGACAGTGCTTCTAACATTAGCATTCCATATTGGAGAGCCAGTCACATTCCTACTGTCCCACTTTCAAGTCAGCTACCTGCTAATGCACCTGAGAAGGCAGCAGAAGATAACCGAAATATTTAGGGCTTTCTGCCCACATGGGAGACCAGGATAAAATTGCTGTCTCCTGGCTTTAGCATGGTCCAGACTGATTGCCATAATTGTTGTGGCCATTTGTGGAGAGATCCAATGAGTATAAGATCAGTTTCTTTCTCTCCCTCTCTCACTGTCTTACTCTCTCTTTTCTAAAATATTGATTCATGGACCTGGCACAGCATCCTAGTGGCTAAAGTCCTCGCCTTGCATCTACCAGAATCCCATATATGTGCCATTTTGTGTTCTGAATATTCCACTTCTGTTCTAGCTCCCTGTTCGTGGCCTGGGAAGGCAGTAGAGGAAGGACCAAAACCTTGGGTCCCTGTACCCATGTGGGAGACCTGGAGAAAACTCCTGGCCCCTGGCTTAAGATCAGCTTAGCTCAGGTCTTTGTGGCCACTGCTAGAATGAACCAGAAGAGATGCAATATCTTTCTCTCTGTCCTCTCTATGAATCTGGCTTTTCAAGGAAAATAAATAAATAAATCTTTACAAAAAAAGATTTTTTCATTCATTCCTTTAATGGAATGGCAAAGTAACAGGGAGAGACAAAGGAAGAAAGAGATCTTCCATCTGCTGGTTCCCCCAAATGGCCATAACAGCTGGGGCTGAGCCAAATTAAATCTAGGAACCAATAAGTTCCTTCTGGTCTTCCACATGGATGGTAGGGACTCAAATATTTGGACCGTTGTCTGCTGTCTTTACAGGCCCATTAGCAGGGAACTAGATCTGAAATAGAGCAGCCAGTGTCTAAATTGGCACTGCAGTATGGCATATTGGCATATTGGCATATTGGCCTGTTAGAACACTGAACATCATACCACCCTCGATAAATAAATCTTTAAAAATATTTGTATCTTTTCTGAAACTAGGAGTCTAAGGTACATTAAAATAAGGCGGAAATGAAATAGTTTAGAAACTAACCTATAAATTCTTTTGGATAGCAAACAGATGAGATGAAATGCCTGTAAAGAAGTTATTGTGGAAGCTGCAGTTGATTGTCATCAGGGAAGATGAGGAAACGATTACCAGGTTGTCACAGCAGCTTGTCCAAGAGATAAGACCAGGTAGAAGTGAGGTGCTAGATAGAAATGGGGAACAGAAAACAAATGCAGGGGGTGTTAGGCTTACCAATTCAAGTTAACCTTGAGTGTTTGGTATAAGGTAGGGAGCAGTCCCCAGTACATCTTCAATTCCAGTCCATCAATATTCCAATTTGAATCAATAGTAGGCCTAGAAATAGTTCTACAGACATTGGAAGGCATGAAGCAAATTCAAGTAAAGGAAATGAATTCAGAGTTTGCATGTGTTTTATCCATAAGTTGCTACTGGATCAGAGTAGCAGAAGTATCCAGGAGTCATCTAGAAATAGATCCAGAGCTAAGAAGAAAAATCAAGTGTAGAGACAATGATCTCAGAGTTGAGCTTAGCAGGAGCTTCTAAAGGAAGGCTGAAAGACAATGTATTGATGAAACAATGAAGAGTCCAGGAAAACATCTACATGTAGAAAACAGAAAGTGAAAAGAGAACTAAAAAGATGGGGAAAGAGACAGCATGGCCGGATAGACCAGGAGGAACAACTCTTCCATAATGGAACAAATCTTCTATAACACAAGGGGATTCATATTGAGTTAGCGTGAAAGAAATAAGGAGCAGGGACATAACCAGGGACCCAGGGAATACACAGAGGATTTGAGAAAACACTGGGGTGGACAGAGATGAACGAGCCAATTTCTCGGCACTCAAATAGAGCCTGAGAGAATAGAGAAGCGTAAGAGTCCCAAACCTCGTTCCTAAATGCTGCTTAGATTTATGACTTGCTGTTGGGTCTCTTCTCCTTCACTGACTCCATCCCTATACTACCTCCTCTCCTTATTTCCTTCCTTTTTTTCCTCCTTGCTGTCTCTTCTCTGTTCCACGTATAAACACTTGGAGCAGCAGAATCATCAGATTAATTCTGCTTAGGCACAGGCAGGGCCAAAGAAGGGTAAATAACTGAGCCCAATCTTGAGTAGCCTCAAGTACGATGGCTTCTCATATTGCAACTATGTGTGTACCAATCAGAAAGTGGAGCAGTGTGCTTGGCTGGAGCCAGAGACTTGATGCATGTAAAGCTTACAATGCAGACATTACACCTGCACACCTGTCCGAGCAGCACATCAACAGGTGCACTGCCCACCTCACTTCCCAAGAAACACTTCCTTAGACCACTTAACACTGGAGACTGTATGTCCGCCCATCCTGGAAGAGTAGACACCAGCAGGGAACCCTCTTCACCTACAAGAAAGAAGCAAAAGGGGTTATATGTCTCAGTCCTAAAGCATACCCAGAAAGGGATCTTGAATGAAACCATTAACTTGATGGTCCCTTGGTGTCTGCTGAGCTAAAAGTCAACCCCTTCCTGTGACAGCAGCTGAGAACAATGATTTGCTGATGGTATGATTTACATATTCACAATGATGATTAAAAAGTCCCTTCCCCTCCCCCACCTGCCTATTGCTGGCCTGGAAAGGTGGCTCTATAGAAAGGAAGGTTCCTGAATAATCGGTGGAACCCCAGCTCCCTTCCACCTCAAGATGACAATTGATCAGCAACTGTTCATTTCCCCCTGTTGCACTTGTTTTATGTCTGATGCAGTCTCATCCAGGAGAATCCTTAACTGCAGGATGGTTGGGTCAGACTCAATATTTTGTTACAAAAACAGTGACTTTTGTAAGAGAAATGGGTCAAATTAACCTATTAAATTATGTAATATTTATAGTGAAAGAACTACGTTTCTGAATGGTAGACAATTGATCAATTCTGAGGACAGAAAGAGTATAACATAAAATGGACAGGTTTCTTGCTGTGATTGTTTGAGTACTGTTAGCATGAGAAGAGAAACACAAATGCCAAGAAATCAGGCTTCCTTGTGCTGAGCACCAGGAAGCCCTTTTTCAGAGCATCTCAACTTCTAAGAAAGTAAGTAGGTTAGCTGTGGCAATTTTTGCAATATAGTTCTAGGTGTTAACCATCAGATTACCATTTTCCAGAATGACGAGAATCCTGCTGCTGTACACATTGTTTAGAACTTTCATTGCTATAAACATAGCGCAGCTGTCTCTGTCTGATGATGAAATTGCAGGCATGCGGCCTTAGTCACTAAAAACAAAATGAGCATTTCAAAGGAATAAATGCCTTCTGATTATAAAACTAATAGATGTTCCTTGTGCATAATTTGTAAAGAAAAAAAAAACAGAAAAAGTTTTAAAGTATTTTTAATCCCAATACCAAATAGATATTACTGAGGTGTTTCGTAGTGCTGAGACTCTATAGTCATGATGATGGTAGTGGCATGATGTATTAGCGGTAATGATGTATTACCAATGCCAGTGATAAAACTGTTTCAAGCACAGTTCTGAGCACTCTATATACATTGACTCATTAATCCTTACAACAGTGCTATCTGGTTAGGATTGTTGAATTCTCCTACCAAGGATACTGGACGTAAACATCAGTTAACTTGCCCAGGGTTGTTACTGTTTCCTAGCGTTGCCAGAGCAAATTGACACAACCTGAGTTCTTTAAGGCAGCAGGAGTGTGT